AATTATTTCATTGACATGTTTTTTAAAAATTGTACTAACCATAACTTTAATTTTGAACTTGACCCTAACGAGAATTACGTTGTCGGTGAAATAACTGTCAGTAAAATGAACTTGTTGGTAAGTTAATTATCAATGAAACAAGACGTTAGCGAATTGAGTGCTAGTAAAGTGACCAGAACTATAACAATTCTACTCAAAATTTACTACTTATGAATAAAATTTAAATTTTTTCATTTTAAAAACATTTATTTTCAAATATGTTAAAAACTATCCGTGTACTAAGCAAAGGTTCTCTAACATTAGCAAACTTTAAAGAATAAAATATATGTCGCATTGCAATTCAATATTAACTAGAAACAGAGACATTTATAATTCGCAAAAATTAAGCATCCTATCTAATTATAAATATAAAAAGCTATTATACAAAGCTAATTACATATGATTTCGAGACTTTTTGTCACAGCAATATTAATATTGAACTTATTTATTTGAGCAAGTCTGTGCATTGTGACCTCTCAGATTACAAATTCCACATTTTCGTTTAATACTAATTTCTTCTGAGTTATTTCCTTCTGAATCAATTCCTTCTGAATTATCTTCTTCTGAATCATCATCTTCTGAATTGTCTTCTGAACTATTAGATACTGCTAAACCTGGACATGTGCATGCGTTATGACCCTTTGAGTTGCAAATTCCACATTTTTTTACACCTTTTTTTTCTTTCACGTTACTACCTTCTCCTATATAATTAACCAAAATTAAATTTTGATAAACCACACAATTCAAATAACAATTCTAGTACGCCAATTGGCGTCCTTTCGTCGAAAGGGTTATTAAAAAAAAAAAAAAAAAAAATAACAATTCTAATCATACATACCTTTATAATTAACATCGTTATCATTATCTAATTTATTATATTCAACTTGAGGAATTTGTTTTTTTTTATTTTTACCCTTTGATATATTCATATTATTGTTGAAACCTTTAATTCTTTTTGACTTTCTGCCTTTTGTTCTAACACTTATAGGATTACTTATAGTACAGGCAAATTCCTCTGGGTCATTATGTTCAGTTTCATTATTCTTCTTTATAAGTTCAAGTTCCATTTCTTTGGTGAAATTTTCATGAATCTTATAGAGCTCATTAGTTCTATTCGTTATAATTGCCAAGTTAAGTGTTTTTTTCATTATACCAAATCCTTTTTCCCATTGTAATCTACACATCATTTCATTACGAACTGATTTGCTAAAAACATGCTTTCCACGAATATGTTCTAAATGTGAAAAATCAACATGCGAATTATATTCATATACATCTGATTGACTATTTAAGCCTGCTACAATTGCTGGTTCAAGTAATACCAAGACATCTTCAACTAATGTATCTAAGTACCATCGTTGTGGTATAAGCCCAATATGAAATTTCGCAGCTTTTGAAAAAAGCATTACCAAAAAAAAATGCCAACACACAAGACTATGATTTATTAACGTTAAACAAGTACAAAGGTGTACATTATTATCATAAATCACAATAAAGTGTATGCTTTTTTGGT